CTCCCAATCGACGGCACTTTTTTGAGGAAAGACTGCAAAAATTCTTGGGAAGTTTGGAGTATTGCTAGGACGTTGGAAAATATAGGAAGATGGTAGGAGGATGGGGAATGGGTAACATACCAGAGAATTGGAAGGTAATTTTGAAGGGACGTGTTGTAGTTTGCAAAAAAATACCAACGGCAGGATGTGTCGGAAGAAGCAGGAAGATGCACGATCATGGACCTTCTGGACCTCCCTGAGATCTCTGTCCTCTACCCTTCCGTGGTTGGATGAAGGCTCATTCTACGCTGGCATTATGAGCCATTTGTGGTTCCCTCATTGGTGCACGCCTACGCTTCGCCATTTTCGGAGGCGGTGCCCACCTATGAGAAGAGCACAGTGCCCCAAGTGACTCCGCCTAAGACGGCGTTTAGACTTCGCGATGATGGGCGACGGCGAGCGTCGACGCACTACATTCACAAACGCGCTCCAATGCTATAAAAGAAAGCACAGGCAAATCGATCGATCGATCCACACCGGCCGCTAGTGCTTTGAGAGAGTGTATGGGAGAATGGGAAGCACCAGAGTGTGTGACCAGGCAAAGTGTACTCTCCTGTTCTCCCACACTCTCCCGAAACAGTACCCGTCTATGACTGCGTTCCTGCACAGCGTTGGAACGCAGCTGCAATTTGAGGGTGTCGACGAGCTGTACAATGCGTCGTCGCGAAGTCTGAACGCCGCCTAAGCGATAGCGTTGAGCGTGCCTTCAGTCGGTGTCTCAGTGGGCGCGAGAACGGAACTGCGCGCTGACTGCCCCCCCCCCACCCCAAATCACTGTACACGTCAGATACGCACCAAAATACTCCACCCGATACTAGAAAGAAATCTTTCTCTGAAATGAGGGTACTCTCTCAAACAGTGTGTGCACATCACATACATGTTCTTTTTGTGGACTTCCAAAGCATGTTCGGCTTTTCGCAAGGGTGCTGCCGCTATCCATCCACATTCGGCACATTGTGCACTTACAAAATGTTCCTTCTTCCAGTGTCTATCCAGCTTAAAAGTGAGCATTATGTTTACCAACAGAAACGACTGAATGACTCACCTGCACACGCTGAGTGAACAACCGTTCGCATGCAACACATAAGAATGAACCTCGTTTGCGACATGAATCTCGGTGAGCGCTGAACAGTAATCCTCATGGAAAAGCATTCCACAATAAGCAACTAGCAACTCTCTCATCCTCGCCTTGCAAGTATTGGGGAACACCAATAAAGAAAGCACACTGGTTGTGAGTCTTCGCCCAACTATCCACCCAAGTCACGAAGTGTGTCTTCGAATTTGGGATAATTCTAAAGAATTCCGAAAAAATGCAAGACGATGCAATTCGAGTTGCTCTCGAGCATAGCACTCTCACAGTATTTTGTTGACGAACGCCCTGACGCATGCCTTCCAACCAAACTGACTAGTCAAGTCCACAAGAACAGCCGCGCGCGGTCGCGTCGCGGGACTGGTAGAACATAAAAAACTCTGGGTACCCTAGGTGTTCGGGCGAGGGTCACCGCACTATCACATGGACCACAACATATTCATAGAAACTGGACGTGCAATTCTCAAACAATGGAATACTATATCACAGTATAATTTAGAGACATCTAACACGCGATTCCGCGCGCAAGACTCAGAACCATTCTCATTCACTTTTATCACTCTATGAATGGGACATATCGACGAATAAACCCCCGCATGGGGGGAGTACGGACAAGCACCCTGACTCCTGCCTACTGACCTACTCTGTTTGTGTCGCTAAAGGAGGAACACACACAAGGAACAATCTCAGAGGTTCTGGAGGGCCCCGGCGGCTTACATTGGTAAGACATTTAAAGGCTTCTTGCAGGGTCTTCACAGCGGGACTGTACAAGCCTTGGTGAGTACCATTTAAGTCCCGGTCCCCTATCCCCTTTCTCATCAAACTGCGCACGGAGTCTCCCCATTCCGATGTAGTCAAAGAGAAGCCACCGGGCCAGGATGCGACAGCAGCAACATTTGTAGGACTGCGTGGAGGCTCGCGGACGCTGACACTAGTTGTAGCTGTCTGAAGTATACTATAGTCTCCGAAGGAGTGGGCTTATCTTTGACTTAGTGCAGCGGAGGCGTTGTGTGCCAGCGGGCTATTGTGGGATGACTCATGAGAGGCATTCTCCCTTTTAGCATCTTCCACCAGTGAACGCTTGGCAGAGAGCGCGCCGCCCGCCCAACCAAATGTGGCCACTGGATGCATTACAGGAAGCTTTATTGGCTCGCCGCAGTTACAACACAGGACTTACTTACTTACATTACATCTGAGATTACAGTATGACATAAAGCTGGCGTTTTGTAGGCCTGGAGCTGCGTACTCAGAATAAAATATTTTACTGGCTACGCTAATTCACGTGTCATTGCTGTACGATGTAAAGCTACGTTGGGAACGATATGGGTACGATTCGTGGGGAGGTGAGGGGAAAGGCGACTGGGTTCGGTGGGGGAGATTAGGTAATCGGGCCTGTCGGAAAACGACGCGCACATGAGCAAGCATACGAAGTGAGGCACAGATTCCGCAATTCATGGCGATCTGAGACTCGCAATATGCCGGGGTTGTGTATTTTGTTGCTTGCAAAGATCTGCACCACAGTGTGTTGGCATTTCAGTGAACGGTGGGTATTCTGGAAAGGTCTACCATCACCACTGAAAGCAGGTGAGTGCGCAATAACAATCTGTGGTTCCAAAGAGGGGCCAGATAATTCTGAAAAGTCTACTATCACCCAGCTGAAAGAGGTGTGTGCGCAATAAAGCAATCTGTGTGTCCACAGAGGGGCGCAGATACATTCCGACGAGCGTCATATGAAGTAGAGGTCACCTTGGTTATACCTGATGGAGACGTTCTTCTCCTACTCTACGGGCGCCTTCGCACGGGAAGCTGCACGCCTTAGCATAACCAAATGCGCAACTAATCTGCACCTTCTCACTACTGGATGTTCTCTCTCCTCTGACTGTAGGCTGCGAGATTTCGGTATTGACGCAAGTGCTCCGCCTCGAGGATAGCGCGGGCAAAGAATGGAGACGGCACAGGGGCGTCTCTATCCTCCACCCCCGTTCCCGTACTCGTTGGACCGGATAAGCTGGCACGCTACTGCAGCTGCGGACCTACTCATTACGAACATAGGAATTACCCTCCTTGGAGATGAGTGTGCAGTTTGTCTCAAGGTAGACCCTACGCAGGCCGTATGGAGGTACAGACACCATTGTTCCTTCTCCATTGGTGCGCCCATGTCCCCTACAGTCTGAGAAAGGAGACCTTGAGTAATTCGGATATCTAGCTGTTTATTTGCCAGATTACCGCTGTTCAAAATTACTGAAGATTATTGTAAAAGAGCAGAACTTGAAATTTTATGACTGTTTCACGCTTCCCCACCAGAAGACGAAGTAGGGAGGAGTGAGTCAGTTGATCACTTCTTCCTCAGCAATCCCATAGAAGGAACAGGGCAGTCCAACGCTCACTGGTAAGAAAAGAGGTGTCAACGCAGTTTCTGAGAATTCGTTCACTGCGTGAGTATGGAGCATACTCTATGATTAGCTTCACATTGCTGGAATCTCAGACGCGTTTCTCGTCGGAACGCTGCCGGGCATCCCGGCAAGGCAGAAAGGTAAGTAATTGATAGCATGCAACATCAAGCCAACAGTAAGCAATCAGTCGGGGAGATATCAAGAGGAGCGGAATGAGCTCAACTCGGCTGCGTTCCCACCAGTAGTGATCGGTTAGCGATCGATCTAGATTGAAAACAACTAGTGATGAAAAACCCGGATGGGGGAAAAAAAGGGGGGCTGCATTCCACTACCCTCTTACACCAGCTTCGTCTAATTGCGACGATATCACCTATACGAGGAGCTCATTACCGTAACATGGCGATCGAGGTCCGTTCGATTGTCAAACGTTGAACCGCAGCGGACACAGAGCATTCGTGGAATAAGATCGCTACATTGCTGTACAGATGGAGTGTTTGTGTCGAATTTTTTGGGCACCTCCACATCTATCGGTTCTAAAAGCAGTAGAGAAAAGCTGAAATAATACATGATAAGCGACCGACTGACTCGTGAATTCTCAACATCAGTTCTAAACAGAAGACTGCTTCGCGCTGAAAATCGTAGCAAAGATTACTCATTAAAACGCGAGATCGAAGTTGATGCAAAACGATTCAAGAGAAAGGGTATATACAGCTGAAATAGGCAATGTGACATCTCATAGCGGACTACAATAAGCTACACAATAGGGGAGACGGCCAAAGTTTTAGGTCAGCAGTGATCGCTGACGTCACCAGCTGGTTCTAAATACATGGCTGTGCAGACAACGGAAAGCCAGCTGGAAAAGCCGAAGGTCTCTCTTCTGTCAGTGCGGTAATCGGACCTCTCGATGTAATCGCGGTCGATACACAGAACCTATTCTTAGATGGTGGGGATCCAACTGAAATCTGCACTGGGATGTTCATAACATTCTAGGGGATTCGTATTAAGAGTTTCTATGCAGCAGATGTAGCACTGACTGGCTTCAGTTCTCCATTTGTTGGCAGCAACCTTTTCCTGCAATCCGTCCCGATACTGTGACGCATGGCAGCGTCCAATATGGCGCATCAAGTGGGGCTGAAATGTACTGGTTTAACTCATTGACAAGGACACATTCACGGCGCAGTATGCTGACGGGGGGGGGCATTATGCATTCTTCTTGGCTTCATATTTGGTTTTATATGTCTCACTCTGGTGAGACTTGCTACTCCTGGTAAGATGAGCAAGCTCATTAAATCATCATAGTAAAACCTGTCAACTCGAGGCGGTCTAGATGGGTCGACACGTCGATGGAAAGTCGTTAAAGTGCAAATGCCGCCCCCCCCCCGTTGACAAACAGCGCCCACATTCACAGTGACTCATTTTAGCAAAATTGACCAACGCCAAAGGTTGGCTCTGGTGTCCTTAGGACCTACTTTGATTAATGACTCCCACTTCTGAACAAAAACTCTGTTCACAAAAAACGGCATCCCATTCACGTTCTTTAATGTGGATCAGCTGGTGACGTTGAAGGTGAGACAGCCTGGGGAAATTCTGTAAGAGTTCACATTCAAACCACGGCTTAAACTCCACTCTAGTCATTCTGACAATAACTAATTCGAAATATGGGGGCTTACTTCGCCTCACCTTGCCGCATATGGAACATTCCAATGGTTTCTTGTCTTCTTTTTCTTTACTATGAACTCTTGACATGTGCCTAACGACATATCTGCAAAAAATTTTATTAGAGGGTTCTAATAAACGTCATCAGAGCCTAGACCAAAAGATGAAACTTGTCATACGTTGAGGATGTTCCATAACGAGGAGGGGATTTTCTTACTTCAATAAAACTATTTCGCTGACTTTTCTCGCTTTTTCGAGTCCAAGTTTTTACTGCAGCATGGCATTCTCAAGTTTTTCCAGCATGGAATTTTAAGAAAGAAAAACTCTGGAAAAGAAGTAGGGTCTGGGAGAGCTTGCAAAAATGGTAGGTAAGGTGGGGTTTGGAGAAGACCGATCGCACTATAGAGTACTAGAGGAGGAAATTTCGAGGGAGAAGGGGTCGCAGCAAGGACTTTCCCCAACGGTAAGCTGTCTGCTCCACTTTTCCGAAGAAACAGTTCGCGCTATTGCATGGGCGGGGCTGGGGTCACCCCTGTACCTTCGTCACTGTTGCTCTTCTTCTTTTCAGCACGGTTAAGAGGAGAAGTGCACCAAAAAGGAGGGCGCTATGGTAGATCCGACTCCACCCTTATCCCCAGTGTGGACGGTTGCGTGCAAACGCAACACGGCTTCCGGGTCTGAGTAGTGCCTCTGTGGGGCTCATAATATGAAGATATCACGGGTTCTGCTTCTCTATAACAAGGGCACATACCCGACGGGTGACCTCCCATAGCGCTCACAGCACTCCCAGACGCTGTTCGTTTGGTGTGGGGGAGTGGGGAGAAGACACCCCGCACTTTCGCTACTTCCTTTCAACTAGCTTGTTACTGATATGAGAGTTTCGTGAAGCTGGAATTCTTCGGTTATGATGACTTACAGGTTTTCACAAGGTAGCCTGTACAAACTTCGCTGCGCGCAACTTTTTTACCCCACCAAGTCGCACTGAGCCCATTTCCATTTGCCAACGCTGAATTCCCTCCAGGAAAAGCCAGCGTTGGTGTCGTAAAAAAATGTCGGGGTCAATTTAAGAGCCGCTTTTCCCTTCTCAAATCGTCTTCTTTTTTCCGACACAGTTTGAAAGCAACATCTACTTTCAACTTGTCGCACTGCTTGAAGAACATCTGTCTCATTGGTGTAATGGTGAAGCCTTCGAGGTGTAGATTCCTGTCCAATTGTAGTTTCCAGTATCGGAAGAACAAATCAAATCAGAAGGAAGTACACGCCTCCAATCTGTGTGAGTCCTCCGTATAAAATAATGCGGCGCAAAAGACTAAGGGGATGTGGATCTTTGATCGATTACGGCTTTTTATCCTTTTAGTTGGCGAGCAAAACCAGTTAGGGATGGACGATAGCAAATTTGACTCAAACAATTGCGTCCGATTTTGAACCAGAAAGGTTCATTGGTCGCGGTCTCACACCAGCTTATTTTGGGAGAAAAAAAGGAAGAACCAACCCCGGGGAACGTACGCTCTCTCCTCCTCAAAGGAGCGCTTCAGTTTCATGAGGAAAATGTTGTCAAGCAATTGCTACAGAATCTCTCCGGCACTTATTTTACGTTTTCTCTAACTATGCTGAATCTCCCAGGGATCTGTGCGATAAAATGCTAGAAAAGAGGAGCTGTTTGGTTGGAGGGGGCATTTGCTCTTGCTTCACGTGAATTAACAGGTCTGACTTTGGTCAGACCTGTGAAACTACTAGGTTGCGTAAATGAATCGCTCTGCTCTCAGAAATTTACAGATCTTTACAAGGAGGCCTGCATGTGCTTTGGTGAGCACCATAAAGTATCCCACCCCAAAGCCTAATTGTGCCAAAAAAAGAGTTCTCCACATTGCTTCGAGGCGGCTTAGGTGATGCTAAACCCATAGTGACGAAGGACTATGATTTTAGAGCTGAACGGCCCTTTTCGGGATGCGCCGCGCACTCTAATTTGTTTCAGATCACCAGCGACTTTTCACTGCGATTCGCCCCATAACAGTATTTAGCCATGCCATGATGAGCCACTGTTTTCCCCTCCTTCTTCTCCCAATTTTCCGGTCAATAACGGACAGAAAACTCGGCGACTGTGGCAGCAGTGGAGATGGGCAAGAGAATCGATTGCCGCTTCGTCGCACGCGATTGCCGCTTCTCGCACGGCAGTGGGCGCGACAGTCCCTTAATTTGCACTATCCCTTCCGATTAGGGCATCGGATTTCATGTAGACAAGTACATGGTAGACAGTTATGCCTATTTTAGTCGTACATTGTCAATTCTCGACCAATTTGCCATTAGCAGACGCGACGTCGCATGCGACGCTCACTAGCGCTGCGAATTACGATTCTCTTGCCACATACCCATGGCAGCAGTCGATTTAAGATTTCACCCCGGATGTTTGAATGCTTTATTTTTGTAAAAGCTGTCTCGCAAAGTATGAATGCAGTATGCACCTAAGGACTCACCTATGACATGCAAACGACTTTTTACATATTGTGCATTCAATGGCTTTCATTATCCCGCTCATATGGAGGTAGTCAACTGTAACTGAATTGGTAAAGGTTATATAAAGTCAACTGGGCACGCATGGAACTCCTCCTTTCTAGTGCTACTATGGCTGCCCTGGCTGAAAACCGACGACTACCTGAACTGTTGGTCCGTAGTACGATAGGCCGCAACTACGTGCAACACAGTCCAACAGTTCGAAATAAAATCAGGGGCAGTTCAGCGACGGGAGGAGGGGCACTTGACACTTTTGCCACTTCCATCGACCTATCGACCCACCTGTAATTTCGTGAGCTTACAAGAGCTGACATGTTTCACCAAGGGGCTCGACGCTTGCTCCAGCTTCACAAGGGTTCACAAGTTTCACCAGAGCGAGACTGCAAAGCGGGACTAGTGAAGCAGCGAGAGAGCAACCCCCCCCCTCCTTCTCCCCCCGTCGCCCAAATGCAGCAAGAAATTCGTACTGTGTAGAAATACAGAACTGGGTTGAACCCGCATCACGAAAGGGAATTGAAGGAGTGAAAATTCTTTTATTGGCAGTTAAAACTTGCAGACTCACAAATATTGACTCAAAAAAGACACCTCAGTCATTGAGAATAAAATAAAACAGTGCTGATAGTGTATAACCCCTGATACTTGGAGACAGTGTTCGTAATTGCTGGGTGGGCGGAGTTGGGGAACTACACCATTGGCGCGCCTATCACTTCCCCGCCTTTTTCGCCGCCACAACTGCCTTGAACAAGAGGGGCTCGTCGATAACGTCATTTCCTGGCTCCGCCGACCACATGAACCCGAACAATGTCTCAAATGTGCACAGTTCAGAAAGATGAGTGAAGCTAGAACAACAAAGTAAGAGACATACCTAAAATGGCGACGTAATTTGAGGTAAGAGCCTCATGAACATCAATCACACCTTAATCAACCAAGTAAGAAAGCATAAAGGACTGAAGTTAGGAAATTATCCAATAAAACACCGGATCCACGAATCTGGTCTGATATTGAGACTGAACAAAGTGAACAACATGTAAGCGAAGTATGAATGGGTGAGAACATTCCGCGATGGTCGGATGGGTGGAGACTTACATCAGTCACTTGCCCCTTCTGATACGCCCAGAAGGAGGTGTTAGTGGAAAAAAACACAATGTTTGTGAGTCACCACCCACTTCATCACCGAGAAACGTGTCTTTAAGTCGACAAAATGTTTTTATTATCCTCAGAGCCCGCAACTTTGGTGTAATAGCACAGAAAACCAGCGAGAAAGAGATTTTGAATTATGAATCAGAATTTGCTAAACAGAAATGAGCGAGTCACTGTCGTCACTGAACTCGATCTGCACTTCGTTAATTGAAGCCTGGAGCCGATCCAACCCCGTCAGCTTTTCCAAATATGACGGACAGTTCATCACCTGCAATGGAGCAAACCTGTAGACCATCTTGAAGGAATAATTTCAGTAATTGAAGAGCGAAGGCAGACAGGTGGAAGGAAAGCAGGCCTCAGGAGTTCCTAAATGTCACTAGAAGCTCCCCTTGTCAAGAGCTAAGGAACAACACTATTTGAAAGTTGAGAGCTGTAAAGAACGCTACTTAAAGAAACAATTCCCAGCGCTTAGTATAAGCATTATTAACCACTGTGCGTCTCTACCGTTTTAGAGGGGGATGTACGAATAAGGAAGGCACAACTGCAGGACTGAATCTGTAGGCCTGACTCGTCAACATTCAGTGAATCGTGCATCGTGCCCTCGAACATACTTCTAATAACCTCTGTCGCACAATCGATGTTCAAGTCTGTTATGTCATCTTTCCAGACAGCCTCTTCTCAACAATTATTCAAAGACAAACCCCGCGATTGCATACTATGGGTAATGACGTTAAGTAATGGACTCACAACCGCTAAGTGACTCACCAGGAAAGAAAAAAAAGCAGAAAAAAATTTCGGAGAACGGAGTAAAAGCCGAACTCGTGGGAGAAAATAGGTCTTGAGGTCTGAATGTGTGCGACAGCTAGGAAGGCGTTAGAACTGCCACTTGTGAGAGCGGCAGCGCCTTCGTTACTTACAGCGAGGCTGAGGCTGCGAAAAGGGGATAATCTCATAGACTGAGGACCAGATCACTTGTAAAACGGGGGGGGGGGGGTACGCCCAGGAATTTCTTGAGCTTGATACTGTCTTGTAGGGGACCAGAATTCTGGGATCCTAGCGGTGGAGTTGGAGCCCTCAGACTATCTACCGTTTCACGTCATTTGCGTTCCACACCACCTCCTGAACTAAGTAGTGCGCTAATTATTCGAGCTTGCTCTCTTCAACAACTGATGGAGAACGGGTTGGCGCCGCACCGAACCCAACACCCCCCCCCCTTCCTCTTCACTCCCCCTGACACGCCCCAGCATCCGTTGCGAGCAAGACGTAATCGTGTAATGTGCCTCACTGTACTTGCTCGAATAACTGTGGGCCACAACCGATACTTAGGCCCATTACCTTACTCTCCCAGGCAATCCCAACAAATATTCAAATCTCGAAGAGCCCACTTCGGACGAATACAACACTCTTCGTCTGATCGCAGGATCTACTACGCTTTATACCCAGATCGGAAAAACAAATACGCATGTCGGGGTGAATCGCCTTTAGATACTGGAATCTAGGGGTTTCCCTCAACAGGTGCAACGGCCGAGAACTTCCAACTTCAGCAGCAATGCGGATTACAAAATTGTGGATTCCAAAGGACAAATGATGGCAAAAGAATTCAAGCTAAAGATGAAACCAGTACCTCTTTAACGAAATCTGCGCCTCTATTGGCATACTCTTCAGCCACTGTGTTCCCACAAGCGACACATTTCTCAAAACGCCGCACACAGGGAGTCATCTGAATGGACAAAATTAGGAAGGTCGAAGAGATTATAATGGAATCTATTGTATTAATGCCTACGGAAAACGAAATCTACCAAGAATTCTCTGAGAAACCTGCCTGGCTGAAACGGGACAAATATCCGCGGACTTGATGCGGGGTTGCGCCCAGCAAGGAAGTTGAATCGTCTGGTTCACCAATATTTGCTGGGGCACGCAATGGATTGGAGTACTGCAGTACGGAGGACAGAAGCTCAACGGCAACACCCGACGCTATCATGGACAGTCCTGCGCGGCTCACCTGAAATTATGAAACATGAAGAAAAATGTGACTGGCTTGAAAGAGGCACACGGGCAGGTTTTCTCCACCCTATAGAAAGAAGTGCTGTTCCAGTAACGTGGAAATTTTGGTGCAGAACACCTACGGCATTTGAAACCACAAGAAATATGCGCAAAGGAATCGGTTCGTTCACGTCCATAGTTCTTGAGCAGGCTTGAGCTAAATTCTCGGCGCTGTTCGGCTAGGGAGGGGCATCCTGTACTTTGCTAGGTGTCCCTCTGCTAAACTCATTTCAAAACTAAACCGTTCTGGAAAAACCTGTAAACTTCTGCGAAGCAGCGAAATGGTACAGGTGAGCCACTTTTGTTATAAGGAATCACACGTCCACAAAGTGACCTGAAGACGCTGAGTACCGCATGGCCCCCAACCCTCCCCCTCCCCACCCCCAGCAAACTTTGTCGGTCTCTCTCATCTCCTACTAGTTCACAATGCTTCCTGGCATCTTTCGCAGAATTATCCCGCTCGGATCTGCTTGAATATGAGAAAGAAAATTGAACTCAGAAATCAAAGATGAAACGTCGATGGATCTTTCCGAAGCACTCACCGCAGAGAGTTACTCCCCCTTCCCCGACAAAAAAGGACGGAATAATCGGCCATTCCTTTTTTGCTTCGATTTTTTTCTGGAAAGTAGAGGTCTACACGACTCGCTATAAAATCCCACGAAATGCTGCGCCCATGATCGTACTACATTCATTTTTGCTTATTCAGCTCATGCACCAGAAAGAATCAGCAGACTCACTGTGCACTGTTGATCAAGCGTTCGATCAGCTGACGAATTACCAGGGGCAGTCACATCGCTGCAGAAATAGCACGCCAATTCCGAGTACGGTATGACAGTACCCACTTGAACAGAGGTAGAATCTGGAAAGTGTTCGGATTAACACCGAAGAACAAACCAGAAAGATCGGAGTTGTGTGGAGGAGCATAATTTTCCGGTCATCCATTCTAGGGTAGGTTTGTCAAGTACAATTGGCGCCGCTAGCCGACTTCTGCACCTGTCAAATTTAGACCCCCCCCCCCTGCCCATAAGCCCACATACAAGGATTGGAGACACAGACGCATGGACCGCCTAGATACGTTGAGTTTCTGGGGATAACATTCAGTGCGGGTGATGGGCGTGTTCACGGAGGACGCTTTGG